TTCTCTTGGAAACCAGAATGACTGAGCACAAACACCTGATTCAGGAGCTGGGTTTCACAGGGCAAATTCATAACCTTGTTGTAGGCTTTTTAGGAGGCATTGTCATCATGTGGAAAGATGATATTCTGAAGATTGATAAAGTCTCTACCATCCCCAGGGCATCAATGTCATGGTCAAGGTAACTCCCTCTTCCATCCCTTGGCTTTTCACTGCAATATATGCCAGCAACACTTATGCTAACAGGGCTCTTTGGGACCAACTTAAAACCATCTCTGATGGTTATAGGGGGAGCTGGCTAGGGGGGACTTCAATGAAGTCCTAAGGGATAGGGATAAGCAGGGGAAACTGTATCTCTGGCCCAAGATCTAGATAGGTGCTTTGCCAACGATGAGTGGATCCAGGGTTATCCTTGTAGTAATGTGAGTCATCTCCCTATAACTCATTCTGATTATTGCCCTATGCTAATCAGCCTATGACCCAATGCCTTCAACACTCCATCTAGATCTTTTAGGCTTGAACCCATGTGGTGTAGTCATCCATCCTTCTCTACCATTGTCCAACAAGCCTATGAAGGGTGTGGTAGCCTAGAAAGGGGTAATGCTCAGTTCCAGTCCTAAGTGTTGACCTGGAACAGAAATGTGTTTGACACTATATTTCATAAAAAGAAACACATTATTGCCAGACTTGGGGGCATTTAGAATTCTAATGCCTACCCCTTCAACACCTTTTTTCAGAATCTAGAAGGTCAACTTCTAAAATAATATTCCTCTATTATCAAATGTGAAGAGATATTTTGGAAAACTAAGTCTAGGATTAATTGGTTGATGAAGGGTGATACTAATACCAGATTCTTTCACACATCAACCCTTAATAGGAGAAGAAGGAACAAAATCATGACCCTACAGGATGGGTTAGGAACTAGATTGAGGGGCAGCATGAAATCCAAAACACCATTTACCACTACTCCAAACTATTCAGCACATAACACAATCTATAATGCCCGTACCCTGATCACTAGAGAGCAAGATATGCTGAATACCCCCTAACGAGTAGTGAAATCAAGGTGGTCGTGTTCTCTTTCAAACCTACAAAGGCCCCTGGGCCTGATGGTCTCCACCCTTTTTCTACCAAAGATACTGGAATATCCTGGAGAATAAAATAACTCAATTCTGTAATCAAACTTTCAATACCCTAGAAATGAAGCCTGAAGTTAATACAACCTACCTTTGTTTGATCCCTAAGTGTGCCAACTCCAAAATCCTTAAGAATTTCAGACCTATTGGGCTATGCAACACTATGCATGAACTGATTACAAAAATAATTCTCAATAGAATCAAGCATGTCCTCCTTTCCATCATTGGCCCAAGTAAGGCCAGTTTTTTGTCCAATAGGAGGACCAATGATAATGCCATCATAGTACATGAATATATCAGTCACTTCACTAACATGAACGGGAAAAATGCTAACATGATCCTCAAAATTGACCTAAAAACGCATTTGACAGATTAAAATGGTCCTTTATCAGACACACTCTGGTGTCCTTTGGTTTTCCCTACAATATAACTAAATTAATCATGTTTTGCATCTCTTTAAGCTCTATTTATACCTTGTTAAATGAGGGTAGGACTGAATTCTCCCATCCTATTAGGTGTATCAGACAAAGGAACCCTACATCCCCTTACATTTTCATCATATGCATGGAAAGATTATCTTGAAGCATTGAGGCTCAAGTGCAATATGGTAGTTGGTTTTCCGTCAAAATCAGGCACAATGGGCCAAAAATCTCCCACCTATTCTTTCCTGATGACCTAACCTTGTTTGCTAGGGCAAACACCAAGAACTGTGCCACCATCATGGAAACACTGCACCATTTCAGCAGCCTATCTGGTCAAAAGGTCAACACCCTAAAGTCCAAAACTATATTCTCCAAGAATTGCCATCATGATACAATAGATAGCTTAGCTAGGACTTTGGACATTAAGGCCAGCACTTCTTTTGGTAAATACTTAGGCTTTCCAATCTTCCATAAGAGGTCAACCAATAAGGATTTTCAGTTCATCATTGATAGTATACAAGCTAAGTTAGCTGGCTGAAAAACTAACTTTATGAATATGGCTGGGAGAACTACCTTAGCCAAATGCTCTTTGGGATGCATCCCTAGTCATGTCATGCAGTACATTAGGTTACCTGCCCAGGTGTGCAACCAAATTGATAGGATTCAGAGGAATTTTATATGGGGAACTATTGTTGTTAATAAGAAAATGCATTTGATCAAGTGGGGAATCATTACTAAGCGTAGAGATGTCAATAAGTGGATAGGACACAGGGTGATAGAATAAACCTATATAATGATAGATGGATCCAAAACTTAGAACATTTTAGAGCTTTGATTAGTGGACCCCTTAACTGGGGAGAGGAGAACAAAACTCTGGCCATATGTATCCTAATTGTTCAGTTGATGCCTACCAACATTTCCTTCAATCTGCCTTGCAGTGTGGTTTCTAGCATAAACTCCACCATCTCTAGTGCTAACCCTCTTAGTATAGCTAAGATGGTGTGGAACATGACATGTAATGGACTTTTCTTTACCAAGTCTGCCTAGTCCATGTCCCTTGAGAAGTTTGAGAATATGTGCCAAAGTCTAGAGATGAACATCAATTGGATTTGGTCAAAGAAGGTTCCAAACAAGATAAAATACTTCTTGTAGTTGTTGACTCATGACAGAAGTCCTACTACTAAACACCTTCACTACAGGGGGATCACTATGAACCCAGGTGTTTATTTCGTGACAAAGAGGAAGAACCAATTGAGCATGTCATAGTCAATTGTGACAATGTCAAGCTATTATGGGACAACCTATCCCGCATGAGCTTAAATAACTACAGCATCACCACCCTCATGAATAAGCATAACAACTGGGGATGTACCACCGACACAATCCACAACAAAAACTTCAGCACTCTCCTAAAATGGGGTGAGTTGATCCCATTCTGCTTATGAGAGATTTGGCTCACTAGAAACAACAATTGTTTCAATGGGAAAAGAGAGCAGTTTTCTGTAAGAATGTCATAACTAAAGTTGTTGAATTCATTCATGTTGTTGGTGAATGCATTGACATCACTATCAATGTCTTACATCTCAAGTGGTACCCTCCCAGGAAAGGCCACTATAAACTCAACACAAACGGGACAACCCTTCAAAATGGGTTTATAGGTTGATTAGGAGGAGTAATCCGAAACAACAATGAGGACTAGGTGATGGGATTAATGGGGAAAATAAATTACACCAAAACTCTACACTTTGAACTGACAGCTCTAACGCCGGGACTAAGAATGGCAGTCTCAAACAACTTCATGCCTTTGGAGGTTAACATAGACTCAACTGAGGTAATACACAATATCAATAAAGGCAATCTGATTTATGAGACAATTGTATGTGAATGTAGGTCACTCCTAGCAGCACTGGGGCATCCTCAAGTAAATCACAGCTACAGAGAAGTCAATAGGGTGGCGGATAAGCCGGTCAAGGAATTAAGCAAGATGAATGAAACAACAACAAACTTTTTGATAGTTCCTCCGGTGCTTGCCAATGAAGCAATATGGGCAGACGTCCTAGGAATTATTTTTGAAAAAAAATAAGGAGTTGTAATATTTATAATGGAGCGATAGACTACACTTTTTGTGTGGTGATTGATACCTTTCCAAATGCTTTTGTAGTAACAAACAACAAAGTAGCCAGTTAATATATATATATATATATATATACTAAAATGCCATTGTTTCATTATTCGTGAACACTGCTTCCCTCATACTTAGCAAACTAAATGGATTTTTATGTTGTGGCTGCAAAGACGAGGGAGCCTTTGATAATCTTTGGTCTATACAAAGATTTACTAGTATAAAAATTAAAAGGATTAGTAATAAAACTATAAAAAACTAAAAAGCCTACGACTTTGAATTAAAACTTCTATAGACTACGCTAACACCAAAAAACTGTTAGATATCAAAAATATTTACTCAACTAATAAAGCTAATTATGCCTTAAAATAAGTAATACATCTTGAAGGAGTCTTATTGAAAAAGGAGTGGAGAGAAAATAAGAAAAGAATGTAACTAAATCCCTTAATTTAAGGCACTAATGATGAATTGCATATAATTTGTAAATAATCCTTGTTTAGAACGGGTAATATATTAGGACAATTTTGATAAATAAATTTCAAATATTTTATAAGAAGGAAAAAATTTCTTGAGTAATTGCTTTTACATATCCAAACAAACTTACAAGGTCACAAAAAAAAAAAAAAACCCAAAGAGGATCTTATTTATACTTCAATTATGACTTGAATAGAGTTTAAAGACCCGTTTGGCCATACATTTTGCCATTATTTGAGTTTATTTGGCAAATACATATTTGTTCATAAATTTTATCCATATTTTGGCAAATTTCAAAAACCCAAAACTCAAATCCCAAAACCAATTCAATGTTACTATTACATTTTAAAAAAATTGTCCCAAACCTTTATATTTTATAAAGGAGCCCACCATTTATTATTTTGTAACAATGCTGCTTTGGCTTCTCGGTCATCTGATAGTGTAATTTGTAGTTCAGTATAAAAAAGATAATTTTGTACCAAATTTATTTATGTTCAGGACTATGGTTTGCAATAATATAATGAATATTATTGATGAAGGTACTATTTGGTATTTGTGATAGTTTTAAAACTTGTGGGTATAAGTCATGTTCATGTTTTTTCAAAAAAAAAGTGAAATATGTTTTGAAAACTGATATTCAAACACATTTTCATTTTCAAACCAAACTTTATTAAAATCAGATTTTTCAAAATAAATTTGAGAATCTATGGCCAAACGCTAGCTAAATAATTTTATTTAAAATGATTAAAAAATCAAATTTTGAATTGGCACAAAAGGGTAAGTGAAGGATTTGATATCGTACTTGGGAAGTCACCATTCTATTTTAAACAAAGGAAATACTTAATTATTACTCTTGCAATGAATGAAATTTTTAATCATTTGATATTCATACACCATTTAACAGGAGTAAGATCATTTCCAATTACTGAGTATATTTCATCGGAGCTCGCCGGAGTATTTTGGCCGGAGCTTTTATGAAACCGGGAAGAAAGACAATAGAAGTACAGAACTGAGAAGCACCCGACCCAACCCGACAAAATCCCCTTTCTCAACAAACCCTAGAGTAGTCATTCGAAATTCAATTTTAGGGATTTTAAGGCTCATTTCACGCTTAACAAATGGATATCGATATTTCCCGTTGGATTCTTGAATTCATCCTCCGGCAACCGCTCGACGACAGCATACTCAACGCTTTAGTTCACACTCTTCCCCTTCCAAACGATAATTTGAACCTCAAAAAAGCCCTTATCCTCAGAAAACTCGAATCCGAGATTTCTAACAGTTCAGTTACTGAGAAAATCCTCGAACTTCTGGAACTATTCGAGGAACTAGATCATCAAGAAGGAATTGAAACTTTAAAGGAAATGAAATCCGCGTATTGTGCGGTGGCAGTGGAATGCACGGTGAAATTTTTGAATCAAAAAGGAGCGGAAAGTGATAAAGGAAAGTATTTTGAAGCGGTAAAGAGGATATGGAAAAAGAGAATTAATTTAATGGAAAAAATAGAGAATGTAGGTTTCGTATGTGAAGAGTTATGGGATTGGAGGGATGAAATAGAAGCAGCGTTATGGGAAGATAAGTGTTGTGACAATGTGATAAGGAGAAGTAAAGGCATATTTCCTGTTGAGGCGGTTGAGGTTTTCGTTAGAGAAGCTAAAGAGAGAATTGGGCCTCCTTTTCTTGATGTTGTGGCGGAGACTTACAGGAGTGATGATGCGGTGAGGGAATTTTTTGGAGGGGTGAACGAACAAGGGACTTGCAGGAATAGTGTCAGAGGTAGAGTTGTAATATGTAACATTACATCTGCAAAATGTGTCTGAAGATATTAAATATTTGTGTGAATGTGTTATTAAACTCTATGATATGATCTAACTTGGGATATGCATTTGTATGAATACTCTCTATAAGTACCTATGATCTGATTATTGGTTTATGTAAGTGAATGCATGACCAATTTCTGGATGTTGGTGTTAAAGGATGAACTTTTTGTTTCTGGTATATATGGGTATCCTTTGATAAGAGATAAAAGATATCTTTTTAACATTTCCTTGTTGTGCCCATAGCTATTTTATCGTTATTAAGGGATAAAGATTTTTTTTTGTTGTTGATATTTAATTGTTTAACTCGTATCAGTTTTATGGGTTTTATGTTGAGATGATTGTTTTTTCTGCTTGCAGAAGTGCGCAAAGGAAATGCATTGCCCAGGCAGAAGCATGTTGCTTTCAGACGCACCAGAGGAGCATCAGCTGGGACATGTGGAGGTGTTAGGATCAGTGACTCTATTGAGTTGGGACTTGATGCATCTGGTGGACAGGACAGCTTCCTGCCTACGCCTGAAATCGAGAAAGCACAGGAAGCACTTAAATTGAGTTCGAAGGAGCTGCGTGCTATGGTGAAGGATCCTCTACCCGATGCACTACAGTTTGCTGAGACTCTGTCTTCTTTGGTGAGGGATCATATGGGTCATCAGCCTGCCGAAAATAACAGTGACAGAGCTCCTCATCCAGTGGTTGCCAGTAGCAGAATGGATCAAGCTAATGGAGAGAATTGTGAGGCAAATTGTCATCCTAGTGCTGCATCCAAGCCAGACCTAATGAACCGAAAGAGTGCTGCCCATACATCTGAGGTATGTACATTGAAAACTTTTCTTGCCTCCACCCGCTTAAAATGGTCAAATGGTTCTGATGGTCACGTTTTAATGCACCAATGCTCTCCAGTAGGTTATTGAATGTATATGGGCGATTTTAACCCGAAGTCTTTATTGCAAGATAGTCTTGGTTATTTTCAAAGCTTTACTAGCCTAGTGACTTTATGTGCCAAAGTTTTTGCCACTATCAAGTAACTAAGTGATATTTTGTAAAATAGTGAGGTTAGTATAGTGGTGAGTGTTCCCGCCTGTCACGTAGGTTACCCGCG